ACAGAAGTCAGCCCACCCTGGATCCAAAATGTTAGATTCATGCAACAACGCGGATAGTGGCCTTGAACATGGAGTAGAATCGCAGTTGAGAGTGTCATTTGCTGTTGATCCGGGTAGAGATTTAATGATCTGGAATGAATACTATGTTTGAGTAGCTCGAATACTTTTTATAGATGACTCTACGGTTTACGATAATGACGAATCTGACGCTAGTTCTATCGCCAATTCATTGAATGATCTCTCCATCTGCAACGATACTCCCGAAGAGAGGTAAGGTTGGGAAATATTTTCGCCTGAACAAATTTCTTTTCTCTATTTTAGAGCTGAGCAGCAGTCAGCAGAGGATCTCCGCAGTGTTCTTGCTCCAACATGTACGACTGACTCTGTTTTCGTCGAGGAACCACTGCAAGCTGTTTCTTTTGCTAAAGGTGAGATAAAATCGTGACTTTGGTAATGAGCTGTATAGTTTGGAGCTATAAATTGGTTTTCTGTTGTGTAATTCCTTTGGAAATTGTATTTGTCAAAGTGTGTAGTATGTGTCATTTCGCTATAGTCTGTTCAGATGCAGAAGCAATTCATGATTCTACTGCGATTCAAGCGCCCAGTCACAGTGTTGAAGAACATAAAATGCACATACTAAAAAAATTTACTTGGGAGGGGTGAGTTTTGTTAGTTCTCGATCCTAAGCTTTACTTCTTGGTCTTTGGTTAAATTGCCCGTTCAGGCCACCTCCCCCACCTCTAGATGCTGACCAAACTGCACAACTCATGATGCTGTCCCGAAACGAATGCCCATTCTGCAAGGTGCAGGATTTTTAGGAAATCGCTCTTCTTATTATTCTCATTATAGACCGCACACGGTTCTAGAGGACTGCGCGTTCCCGCGTTTGCAGACGATGAGATAAAGGAGGAGTGTATGATTGCACACCTTGTACGATTTCATCACGAAGATAGAAGAGCTACTTGGGTTCTTAATGCTAAGAGGTAGAAGAATGCGCAATAATGTAAATTAGTATATTGAACTTTTTTTCAGATATCGTTTGTCTAT